TACCGTGCGAAGCACATACAAATTCACTAGTCATAAAATAAGTTCGGCATAAATGTATAATCCCCAATGTTTTCAACGGTTCAAATTCTCCCCAATTGTGACTTTTTTTAAAACTAATCTTAGGGTATGCGTGTATCCCCATAGGGGGATTTGCAGTCGTACCCTATATTTGTGCCACCTTTAACCTGTACCCTATTTTTAAAAATTATTGATTTGGTAGCCAGCTGATAAAAAATTTGTAATAGTATGACAATTACACCCCTGACAAAAGATATAGAACCTACATCACGCATTAATCGTGTGATCTGCAACCTCATTCGTGAAAAAAGATCTCCTCCTCTCATCTCAGCAACTTTATCAAACAATCATAAACTTGTCAAGATTCATCTGCAAAATCACACTGCATGAAGTTGTTTCACGTTGAAGCTAAAACTTCATGCTAATATAGCATGGAGTTGTTTCATGTTGAAGCTAAAACTTCATGCTAATGCATGCTGAAGTTATTTATCCTGCAGTCTACAGTTTTGTCATGAGTTTTATCTGAAACTTCATTCTAAACATGCTGAAGTTATTAGTTCATTTGCTAAAACTCTAGACTAAACATGCTTAAGTATCTTAGTTCATTTGCTAAAACTCTAGACTAAACATGCTTAAGTATCTTAGTTCATTTGCTAAAAGTTCAGACTAAACATGCTTAAGTTTTTTTGTTCATTTGCTAAAACTTCAGACTAAGCATGCTTAAGTTTTTGTCTTGCGGTATATAATTTTCTAATAAATTTTTTCTAATGCATGCTGAAGTTATTTAGTTCATTTGCTAAAACTTCATAACAAAACATACTAAAGTTTTGTCCTGCAGTTTACAGTTTTGTCAATAGTCTTTTATTAAAGAAGGGCAAAATCGTCTTTTTAAAATGCTTTTAACAAAAAAGTGGGTACGGATGCAAACGAAAAAATAAAACGGGTATAAGTTAAAAAGGGGCGACCAAATAGGGCGCCCCGTGCAATTTTTACATCCCCATCTCAATGAGTAGTTTTTTTAAAAAAAATTAAGTAAATATTATTATTAAATAAAATTTATAAAATAAATTTAAAATATAAATTTTTGAAAATAATGAATATTAATCTTATTTAGCTATATAAATAAATAAAGAAAGAAAATGTAAGTAAAATTATATTTCGTCAATATTGTGATGAAGCTGTGCTATCATCCTACTCTTCCTTTGTGAGATCTTCTTCCATTATCATTTACACTGTGTCATGATTTAATTTATTAATTAATATATGAAACTAGAAAATTTAAAGTAAATATTAATATCTTAGATTGACTTTGATAATAAATAATTGTGCTAAAATAAATACCTTCACCAAATAAATGAAAAGAAAAATCTTCAATAAAAAAAAAAGAGACGGCAGCAAAGAATATAAAAAAGCAAATTTCATAAAAGTTCAAAGGAAAAAAAATTGCTTGAGTTTAAATTACTAAATAGTAGAAATTTACATATCTTAAATAAAGAAATATTTAATAGCTAAATTTTTTTTGTTATGTTAAATATCTAAATATTATAAAATAATTAAGTGATAATTTTGTCCAACATGAAATATGTTTATAAAGAACAAAATAGGTATGTGTTGCCTTCATGATTATTGTAAAAAATATTTACATAACTTATATTTAAAAATCAGATCTAATATAAAGAGCAGCTTCTAGTTTTTTAAGGTTGTATTAATTGTTACGTGCAACACACATGTATTTTTTTTTAAGCAATCTACTAGGCAGAGTCTAAGGCTAGTTTTATATATATAATAAAATTAAGAAAAACAATTGTCATGAAATCTTAAGAAATGAAAAATAAACTTTACAATACTACATATGACTTATTATCAAAATTGAGTAAAATACTCAACAATGATAGCACATGAGATCTAATGTAGCATTTATTAATAAAAACTAGCCCATGAAGCCCGTTGATCTTAATGTCCGCTTGAGAAATCCGCTTCTTGCACGAATAGCCTCTATCATGAATGACCACTGCCCAGTTCATGCCACAATAACCTTCTTCATTGCAAGCCACTGCCCAGTTCCAATGCTTGCACAAGTATCCCACTTCCTTTTGCAACAAAATAACCACTGAATATCGTAATGTGTTAAAATAGTGCACTGTCCATGAATGTACAAGTGCACTGTCTTTGCAATCATTTTTGCGTGAATTCCTTGGTCTATTTCTTGCAAACTTTGGATGTATACCTTCTTGTAAAGTACCAGACATTTTCTTCCCCCATTGTGAATCCAAAGCTCCTGAAAAATGTTACCAAACAACAAGCTACCAGCAATGCCTAGCGTTGTGTAACACGTAAAACTGACCGTGCGTTGCCAGGTTCCTCGCGAGAAGGGGACTGTGAGTCGCGAGTTTCAAGGCGTACTAGAGCTGGCGTCTACCCTCGCGTCGCCATGTCTTTAGCGAGATGGACCTAGCGAAATCCTTTGCGTCGCATGGGAGTTATCTCGCTACTGGATGCGCTAGGCCAGGTCTACAACAATGATAAACCCTGGGCATCGCCAGGTATATAGCGAGGTGAAGCTGGCGCATACCTTGGCGTCGCCTGGTGGTTGAGCTTGCTACTGGTCATGCTAGACGTGGTCTTAGGCATTGCTGGGAAGCTCACTAGGCCTGCTAAAGTTGCTCGCCTTTGTTGTTGCGCCTCCAACACCCAAGCCTATGACAATATATCACTTTGCCAAACTTGTTGCATGCTATGAATATTCATTTGCCTCCTTTGTTTTATGCTTGTGCATGCCATCTTTCTTCCTTCAAGGGAATGAGCACATGGTGCTAATACCACATATAGAAGTCGTAACAAATGGCAAGGCATGAATACAATAATGTCTCCTGCAAAAAAGAATACATGGTTAGCAGAAAAGATGATCACCATGTATTCCTCCCGAGGGATTTGTACATGATGATCTAATGAATTCTCCAGCTCTCTACTCCACCTTACCTCCTTACTCCTTAATTCTTTGCAACTTTCACCCTTATATATGGACATTGGAGCTTATCATCATTCACCATCCTCCTTCCTTGTACATCCAATTTTGCAAAACATTCAGCTTCAATATTGCCATGATCATGTGCGTAATTAGCAGGGTGATCTGCCATCTTAATACCTTTACGAAAAATATGCAACACCTTAGCCTCACATACCTCCATTAATTTCCATATTTCCTCCACATATTCAACAATCATCCATGGTGGTTTTCGTATCCTTTCAATTATATTTTTGAGCATTATTGAATCAGTTTGTATTCAAATGTATGTGATATGCCTTTGAGAACCAATTCTCAAGGCCTCCAGAACTGCCAAAGCTTGAGCTATTGTATTAGTGTTCTCCGGAATTTCCATACCACATGCATACACCACATCTCCAAGTTCATTCCTCATACAAAAACCAATAGCACTTCTACCCGTATTTCCCCTAGAAGCCCCGTTAGTGTTTACCTTAATTTATCCCTCCCTAGGCAGTTCCCAAAGCACCTTGTGCACTTGTAATTTAGGTGTATAATTCTCCAGCAAATGTAGCACATAAGGCCACCTATGAGGGACCTGCTTGATTCCAGGCTTCCTATACTTCACAAGTGCTTGAATGGTGGAAGACACTTGGTATATGACCCTACTAATCCTAACTGTTTCACCATGTCTATAACTATTTCTCCTCTTCCATAACTCACATACAATTATACATGGCAATGCTTGAAAAATATGTCTAAGTCACGGAATAACTTGTATTGGCCAATACTTCACCATTGCTTGGTGCAAGTTTAGCCCTTCCAAAGTTAATCCAGCAAAGGAAAAGAAATATGACCATACCTTTGATGCAACATATGATTTGAAGAAGACATATTCTCTTGTTTCCACTTCTGTATTTGTACAACACCAACACCTTGAAGGTGAAAAGTAACCCTACCTTCTAATTATATCATCAAAAGGTAACTTTCCCTTATATATCTTCCACATGAAGAACGAGATCTTGAATGGCAATCCTTTCGGCCACATATTTTTGTAGATAATATTAGGCTCCCTTCTCTTCCTCAAATAGTCCCAAGCCGACTTAACAATGAATTCTCCCTTTGGCTCCAACATCTAGTAAGGTTTATCAATTTTTTCATGTACCATAGGAGGCTTGATATTGTCTATGATATGAGAAACAAGATCTTCAGGTAGTATTTCCCTCAACCTTTCATCATCCCAAACTCTCTCTTGAGCAACATCATACACATTGTGCATTGATTCATCACAATAAAACTCCGCAGGAGTAAAAAAATATAGTGCACCTAACCCTATCCAATTATCAAAGCAAAACAAAGAGGATCCCATTTTTAGTTGCCACAATATCTGATGCTCCACCAAATCCCTACACTCCAACATTTTTCTCCAAGTATGAGACCCAACTCTCCAAGGCACCACCAATGTATTTAGCTTCTTACAATATTTTTGACTCATGAAGGAACTCCAAAGAGTAGGTTTTGTTCTAAAGTTCCACCAAATCTTGAAAATCAAATCTAGCAACATCATGTAATGATCTAAAACCAACTCCTCCTTCCTCCACTGGCAGACATAAATTCTTCAATGATGCCCAATGTTTACTTTTTCCACCAACTGAATTGCTCCAAAAGAATTGAGCAAACATTTTGTGTAGCTTTTAAATGACATAATTGGGGGGATTAACAGCAGAGAGAAGGTGAATAGGTATACTTTATAACACATGAGTAATCAACACTGCCCTGCCACTTATAGACAAGAGCTTTCCCTTCCAAGATTGCAACCTATCAAGAACCTTTTGAATAAGTCCTTGATAGTATTCCATCCTCCTAGAGTAAAACATAAGACACCCCAAATAAGTAAATAAAAATTCTTGCCTTTCTATCCCAGTAACCCTTTGAACCTTGTTTACTATCTCCATGCTAGTTGAGTGATACATATATAGGACTGATTTGGATTTGTTTATTAGCTGTCCAGAGGAAACTTCATAGCCCCAAGAACCTCCATAATAAGCCTCAAAAAAGTAGTATCTGAAGATGAGAAAATGATAGTATCATCAGCATAAGATAGATGATTAATTTTAGGGCTCCATTTAAGAAATCCAAAACCACAAAAGTATGGATTCCTGTTAAGTGAATTAAGCCCCTTTGACAGAGCCTCCGCTGCCAATATGAACAAAGTAGGAGACAAAGGATCTCCTTGCTTGACTCCTCTAGTTGATTTGAAGAATTCAAATGTTTGACCATTAAGTAGCACTGAATACCAATTATTAGAGACAAGATCAAAGATCAAACCAATGAATCTCTCACAATACCCTATCTTTCTCAATTTGTCAAGAAAAGCCAAGAGAGTCTATCATAAGCTTTTGTCATATCAAGCTTGATCACCACATTTGGACCTGCCTTAGTTCTCAATCTTATATCAGTGATAATCTCTTGGGTAAGTAATACATTCTCCACAATGCTTCTCCCTTTAACAAAACCAGCCTGCTCATCCGAAATTAGGTTGGGAAGAAGCTGCACCATCCTATCATGAATAACTCTTGAAAACACTTTATTGATGAAGTTGCTTAGGCTTATTGGTCTCATATCGGAAAATATACTAATATCCTTCTTCTTTGGCAATAACACCAAGTTTGTATGAGTCACAAATTTAGGCAATTCTTGAACATTAAAGAAGTCACTAACCATATCAAACACATCCTCTCCAATAATGTCCCAGCATGTATGCAAGAATGATCGATTGAAGCCATCCGGACCCCCTGCACTATCTCCATTTAACCCAAACACAACCCTCTTTACTTATTCAATAGTTGGTTATTTGATAAGCTCCTTATTATGTTGCACCTCCACCATGCTAGGTACATGATCTAATATGTAAAAATCAGTAGGGACCCTATATTTATAAAATTGTTCTTGGAAAAATCTCATTGCCTCCGCTGCCATATCTTCACTATTTTCCAACCACTGCCCATTGCTATTTTGAATTCTTCTCAACTGCAATCTTTTTCTTCTCCCATTCACTTTTGCATGAAATAATTTTTGTATTTCGATCACCATCATTGAGCAGTTCATCCTAGCTTTTTGTTTCCAAAATTCCTGCTCCAAGTGAAGATATCTAATGAATTCTGCTTGTACCTTCAGAATCCTTTCTCGATTATGTGGTGTTGGATGCAGTTCAAACTTTATTTCATGGACTATGACAATCTCCTCCAAGCTAGAAATCTTCTGAAAAATGTTACCATATGTGGCCTTGCTCCACATTGAGAGTGCTTTCTTCAGTTTCTTCATCTTATGGTTGAACAAGATGAAAGGATTACCACTGAAATCTGCCCGCCAATTTTTTCTATCCACATAAAAAATGTGTCATGTTCAATCTAGAATTTCAGGAATCTGAATGATTTCTTGATGGGAGATGCATTAGGATCACAAGATAGAAGCACAGGGCAATGGTCTGATCTAGTTTTTGAAAGATGTGTGATCTACAATCCAGGTAATATCTGTTGAAACTCCATATTACCTAAGCACCTATCCAACCTCTTAAAAATACAATCATCATCAGTTCTTCCATTCCACCATGTGTAGATACTGCTCTTGAAGCCCAAATCAAATAAGTTACAAGTGTTGATACAATGTCTAAAATCTTCAATTTCATTCAAAGAAACTGGCCTCCCCCCAAACTTCTCTTCATTATCAACTATCATATTAAAATCACCTCCCCAAGCCATGGAAGAGTCATATCACTAGCCAATGCATTCATCGTATCCCATAATTCAATTCATTCAATTGCATTACATTTGGCATACACTAAGATGACTATAAATTTCTTATGCATTTGGTTATTTAATAGTCTTAGTGTAAGATTCTGCTCTATATCAATAATTACCTCTACTTCATAGTCGTCCTCCATAAAAGCCCATACTCACACATGTATTTCAGGGACAATGATAACACAAAAAGTACGATTCAATAATGTCATATAATTTTCCTCTAAGCTCTATATGTTTGTGAGAAATGTATTGAATAAGTATATACAGTAAACTTCAAAACTAACATTTTAGCTAGAACCCATAAACTTTAAATTTTTGAATCCGCTTCTATATGTATTGCATGTCAATCATTGTAAAATTGAAACGATCCGATCAAGCATTTTGTTTTCTAGAACCCCATTCCCCTAAATGTGCTTTTACTGTTTCATGACTTTCATGGATGGTTAGCTCGGGTTTGGAAGGATCCGGGTTGAAATCGAAGCACTTAGTTCCATAATATTGGCTTTAAAGGGTTAAGTTTGACTTGGGTCAATAATTCTAGTAAACGACCTCGGAACCGGGATTTGACTGTCCTAATATGTTCGTATGAAGATTTTGGACTTGGGCGTATATTCGTATCGAGTTTTGGATGACCCGGGAGCATTTCGGCGCATAAAGTTGAAAGTTGGCGCACTGAAGGTTTTAAAGTTCTTTAAATTTGGTTTGGAGTAGGTTTTGGCGTTATCAAGGTCCGTTTGGGATTCCAAACTCGAGAATGGTTTCATATGGTGATTTAAGACTTTCATGAAAAATTAGGTGTCATTCATGTAGTTTAAGTATAATTTGGCGCGTTCAGAGTAGGTTGGAAGAACTTGAAGTTTATAAGTTGATTCGATTTGGTTTGGAGTGTAATTTTTAGTTTTGGTGTTGTTTTCTGTGTTTCAAGAGGTCAAACAGGTCCATATTATGGTTACGAACATGTTGGTATATTTGAGCGAGGCCTCGGGGGCCTCAGATGCCATACGGACGATGCGCGGAACTCGTTGGGACTTGGAGAAAATGGTTGAAGCAAAAACTTCTAGTGCAATCGCACATGCGAGGAGCTAGCTGCAGGTGCGAGCTCGCAGAAGCGAGCCAATGACCGCATAAGCGAAATGGAGTGGACTGCCCAGTGGTCGCAGAAGTGGGGAAGGGCGAGGAAATTGATCGCAGAAGAGGGAAGGTGCGCAGGTGCAACGCTTGTGCCACTGAAGCGGGCTCTCAGAAGCGAGACTTCGCCCGCAGAAGCGGGAAGGGTAGACCTGGGCATGGTCCGCATCTACGAGGCTTTGTCGGCAGAAGCGGCCAATGTTCCACAGAAGCGAAAATCGCTGGGGCAGTGAGGTTCATTTAAGATGGGACTTAGGCAATTTTGGTTCATTTATTTCATTTCTTGGGCGATTTTGGAGCTTCTTAGAGATGAGTTTTCACCTAGCTATTGAAGGTGAGTAATTTCTATCCAATGTAAGTTAAATTCATAGATTATGGGTAGATTTTAACATGAAAAATTATGAAAATTATGTGTTTAGTTGAAAAACCTAGGTTTTGATTAAAATGGGATTTAACTACGAAAATGATTACGGAATTCAGTGAAAATTATATATTTAAGTTCGTGAGGTTATGGGTAGCATTTATCTTCGAAAATTTCCAAAATTGGGTCAAGTGGGCCCGGGGGTAAATTTTAGGAATCTTTCAATTTGGGTTGGGTAATTACTCTAATAGTTAAATTATGAACTTTTGAACATGTATTGATTAATTTAAATAACTTTTGACTAGTTTCAGATTGTTCTACACCGAGTTGAGGCCTTAAAACGAATTTGTGGGCTGAAAAATAAGCTTTGAGATGAGGTAAGTCTCTTGCCCAACTTGGTAAAAAGAATTTTACCCCATAGGTGATTTAAATTATTATTTACTTCTAATTGTGGGGGCTACATACGCACAAGGTGACAAGAGTCCGTGTGTAGCTACTAATTATGCTTATTTCCGTATAGTTTAGGATCCAAATCATGAAATACTTGTAATGTTGCATCCCGCTTGTTAATTAAAGTGCCTAAATTATATTGAAACTTGATAACGGATTTGTAAGGGACTAAATTTCACTTACTTGAGTTTTTTACGGGTTACTTGACGTTAATAAAAATTGTGCTTCTTTGTGTATTAGCCTTGTAATAACTTTTAAGTCGGCTATTCATAACGTATCCTCTCTTCTTGGAGTGGGCCGAAAGCCTTGGCAGTAGAATAGATGCATCTATGGTTCATGCTGCTTGACCCTTGGCAGTGTACACATTATTCTGGATCGGGCCGTACGACCTCGATATAAATCGTGCGTGTTAATGCTTGGATCCAGAATACACTTGATATATTATTTTTCATGAACTGAGAGGTTATAATTTAATTATCTGCTCGAAATCTATTTGGGATTAGCATGTGCTAGTGGGGTACTTTTGGAATTTGCTATTAGTTAAAGAATCAGTTAATCACTGATGTTGTTGTGTTAATATTATTATTATTCACATATTCTATGCCTATTTAGCATTTCTATATTTTATTGTTAGCCCATAGTAAGTGTCGATGTCGACTCCTCGTCACTATTTATTCTAGGTTAGACTGGATACTTACTGGGTACATGTTGTTTATGTACTCACGTTATGCTTCTACACTAATCGTGCAGGATCTAAGGCAGGTGCATCTGGCAGTCATACTGGCGTGTACCCCCGTTACCCCGAGGCCTACTGGTGAACTGCTTCCTGAGCCCGTTCTGCAGCACTTAGAGTCTCTCTTCCTGGTGATGGATGCTATAACGCATCATATTCAGGGGGAGGTGCCATGGTGCATGCTATTTGCTGATGACATAGTCCTAATCGACGAGACACGACGCGACGTCAGTGAGAGGTTAGAGGTTTGGAGACATACCCTTGAGTCCAAAGGTTTCAGGTTGAGCAGGACGAAGACAGAATACCTTGAGTGCAAATTTGGGGCAGAGCCGACGGAAGCGGGAGTGGAAGTGAGGCTTGATTCTCAAGTCATCCCTAAGAGGGGTAGTTTCAAGTACCTGGGGTCGTTTATTCAGGGGTCCGGCGAGATCGACGAGGATGTCATACACCGTATAAGGGTGGGGTGGATGAAATGGAGGTTAGCGACGTNTTGTTGTTGTTGTTGTTGTTGTTGTTGTTGTTGTTGTTGTTGTTGTTGTTGTTGTTGTTGTTTAGTATACTTTGTTTGAGACAGTAGTTAGAGTTTTGTATATTCTACTAGTTGCTCATACACTTGTGACACCAGATCTTGGAACACCTACTAGTAGACTTTATGGTTTTGGAGTAATTATTTTATAGCATTTGCTCACTCATTAGCTTTCATTTTATTTTATTAAATTTTTTACTCCTTATTTTCTTAATAAGTAGGATTCTACTTGGAAATTTATTAAAAAGAGCAATCACATGGTCAGTTCGCCGTTGGCTTGCCTAGCGGCGACTTTGGACGCCATCACAATCTATAAAAGAAATTATTTCGTGACAGAATTGGTGGATTAAAAAATATATTCAAATTATGTACAGAGTTTCAATTCATATTCAAGTATTTGTGACTTCTGACCTACTCGTGTATATTCACTAAAAACAACGCCCAAAAATCATAAAATGCTCACCCATGACCCCTTATTTTTTGTTATTTTCTTGCGGATTCTTGGAAGGATAATATGGTTCCGATGCCTTACCTCAATTTTACTCACTTTTATGTCCA